CGTTTATAACATTAGGAGGATATTGATTGTATATTTTTCTTTACATCCAACGTCATATTTTCATGCTTCAGATTCTTGTTGTTTGGAAATATCAACCAAAGGAATTAAGTTTATTTTGATAATAACAATAATAAGAGAAACACACAAAAACAGCTTCTCACATTAATTTGCCTAATCAAACGACAAAACAAAACTCCTCAATCATATCCACACATGCCAACATCGAATGAAACATACATTTATTCAGCGGATTCCTCGCCGAAACAACAACAACAACAATCACAACAACAACAACAAGAGACTAAGATGCGTTCACACAGTTCCATGGAACAAAATCGTACAGAATCAATGAAAGATTTAGCCAATTGTATTGAACAGAATGGACTGAAAGGATATTTATCCAATGAATCTATTCAATGTACCAATAATAATCATACAAAGTCAACTAGTAGTATCCATGTCAACACAACCATGAGTAGTATGAATGATATCAGTATGACATCGAATCAAAATAGTGGCAATAATAGTATCACAGGTTGTGGTGCTGTTACTACTACTACTATCCTCAATAGTAGTAGTAGTAGTAGTAACAATGATGTTGATCGTGATAAGATTGGAGGTGCTGGTGGTACTGGTGGTACTGGTCAGAAATTTTCCACACATCCACATCAAAATGGTCATGTCACAGAGAAAATGTCTAGAACTAATTTATACATAAAAGGATTACCGGAAAATTTTGATGATGAACAATTATGGCAATTGCCACCGGATCAAACAAAAATTAAATCAGTCAAAGCAGCCACAGATGAAGATACTAAATGTCGTGGTAAGTCACACTGTTCACTAACTAGTTTTGTTTATTCATGTGCTAAGAATTATGTTCTTTGTTCTGTTTTGTTTGTTTTTCTGGGTAGGATTTCCATTTTTTTATTCATATAATTTCGTAAAAAAAATATAAAATAAAAGGTCAATTTCCTTTTGTGAAACCTATAAAATCATTGAAAAGGAATGCGATTTTTTTTCTTATTGTGAGAGATGTTAGATGTATTCGTCAATTAGAGATATGCTTGAATGCTAGTTTACGAGTTCACCTTAGTCGGTAGACGTAGAGCAAAGGCAAATGATCCAATGACACACGATAAGCTACTACTCTAATTCGAGCGGTCCCAAGGCCCCATTAAGTAGACCTAAAAATCTTGACATGGCGTAGAAAGTGTATTCTACAAACACACAGAAAATATGAGGTCCACAAGCATACGAATTGAGTTTATTTATACAATGATAGAAACGTCCTTGGGAGAGACACAAACACACCGTACTAAAATTACACATCAACCAATAATAGTCAAAGATTTTCTGAGCTGGGAAATGTAATCTCAATGTCAACTGAGCAGCCGATGCGCGGAAATACATAAAATCTAAAATTAGGACCTTTATCAAAAGAGTTTTGGGGGAGCTAACGTCCCCGACAACGTCATGTAGTGTGTGGTTGTTACCTTGGGGGAAAAAACTGTTATCTGTAATGAAAAATATTGACTCTGCTGTAGTAATATCCAAATGTCGATTATGACAATGAAGAAATTCAACTCAAAACTCTATTAATATGTATCATATTGTGGTGCTGTGGTGCGAGCTACTTATAAGTAGTAGATGACGTGAGTGTCAACGTAATGTCTGACAGCATAATATGGGGGAAGATCAAGAAAGGAAGAGTTAGAACACAATGGAATTTGTATGAAACGCATGAATAGTGACAATGGATTGATGTTTTGCAACAGGAACAGTCCAGTTTGATAGGATGGACTGTTATTTTGCAAATGAACGATTTACGATTTGGTATTCCTATTTTGCTGAGTAACTCTGTACTTTTCGTTAAATACAATTCGGTTGCCCTCACCTGTGTTCTCCTTCACTAAAATATTATTGTTACTATTAATAATACTATTATTATTAGTAGTAGTACTTGGTAATGATGACTTCATATAACTGGAAATTATTGCATTAGTTTTCTGTACCTCACTTTAAATAGACCAAAGTTTCCTATGAATCAGGAATTGCAGTTCTTATAATCACGGCTTTTCTTACTAGGTATTATTGTTTTTGTGAATTTAAAGTTCCCCCCAGCAAACGTTCACGAATACTTTACTTCACTTTACTTTTTTAAGTAAGCATTATTAACAATGGAAATGATATGAAAGAATTTATATATGTATATATATTCTTTTTCGAAGAAAATTATATCACTATGATTGCCCAATTCTTCTGAAACTATGTTCCAATTAACCTTACAACAACTGCTATTTTTTTACACTTCTTTCCCTAATTATATTGTTATCCGTCTGTATGTATGCGTGTGCGTGTGCGTGTGTGTGTACATGAAAATACAATAATTATTCACAGATCATTCCACTAACATGTAAATGAAGTCAATAAAACAAGAGTCATGTGACTGTTTAGTGCTGTGGTTGTTGTTGATGTGAATACAATGGAATGGAGAGTAGTTAGTTGTATGAGGCGGATGAAATGCACGCAACTACTTTTTTTTTACACATCAATCAATACAATGTCTTAATTTGTATTATTATGATTATTATGATTATTATCGTACGAAAATATTTTTAAGAAAAAAACCTACAGTGATTATCAATTTTATTTGTAAATAACTATACTAATGTTATGACGTAAACTGACAATTTATTCATAACTGTACTTTGATTGTATATCAAATTGGTTATTATTATTATTTGACTGAAGTAGCAGTAGTAGTAGTAGTTACATTAGTACTAATCATTGTTGTCAGTAGTATGTTTAGATGGGCTGTCAGTTGGACTGTATTTGAAAAACACACATGTAGATCGATCAAATAGTTTACTATTTCACTATGAAACACATGATGCGATCAACGTCAATGACTCATACTGATTGATGTTCACAGAAAAATTATAATCATCCCAGATAATTTGTTGAATATATATATACACGTATGATGTGCTTTTTTGGTTTACGTTGTCGGTAGAAGATTAGAGTTTAAATAATGTGAGTACTACTGAAAAGAAAAATATAAGTAGTAGTAGTAGTATTTATCGTTGTTGTACCAGTAATCATAACATGATATCTATGTTTATCATATATAAACCAACATTTTTTTAAAGATGACTATATATTTAGTCTATATACTGGTACTTATCTCACTTTCTTTAGCTTTTTATCTTTCATCTTCTCAATTCTATGCTCATTTTAAATCTTGCAAATAAGAAAAAGAATTCTAATCGAATAAATCAAACAAGGCCACTGGGACTGATCATTTTTTTTCTTAAACAAATGTTTGAGAGTTTATTACACCACGAAAAAGTTCATTTCTATATTGATTTTGTCGTTAAATCACACAGAAAAACACGTAATACAGGTTTACTTATTAAAATCATGAATCGATCAATGTTAGATCACTGGTAGAAACCTGCAAGATGTACTGAAAGGCTGTTTCGTCCTAGTACGGGATTCAACAATCAGTGAAGTTCAACCCTGTTCGGGTGTGAAGCAGTGCTCACCGTTGACAGTGTGCGAGTTTGTGCGAAACCGTGAAGTGATCAAAGTTAGCCATTCGGACAGTTAGATACCGCCTCAGTGGTCTTGATGTTAGGCATTCGCGTGCAAGACTGAAGGTCCTGGGTTCGAGTCCCGCGAGGTGCAGGAGTCGTGGGCGCGCACTACCACTGATGAGCCCCATACCAAGACGAAAAGGCCGTCTCTCAGTGCTTCTTCTTCCAAGTTTCTAATAGTGGTCTAACATTGATCGATTCATGATTTCGAATGGGTAACTCAACAATCTCCACAATCCTATTAATATAATAAAGCTTTGTAATATTATTATTATTATAATTAATATTGTCAGTATTGCCACTACTACTACTACTACTACTACTACTACTACTACTACCACTACTACTACTACTACTACTACTACTACTACTACTCACACTACTACTACTGTTACTACTACTGCTCACACTACCAATGAACATATCAGAAGATGTGGTTTTTGCTGTTTACATAACTAAAGAACTATTTTTTTCTACAAATAGGAAATAACATTCTGTCAATAAATTGAATATTCCAGTAAAGAAGTAAAGAGTAAACCAACAAAACAGACATTAAATGATCATAAAAAAAGACGTTGAGGGGGGTAGGCTTATACACTATCTAAAATCACCAATGTCTTGACAACAACACTAGTTTTATGTTTTTTTGTTCAAATTCTTAATCACAACATTGAAAGAACACAGAGTAAGGTAAGATCTAAAGTGTACTGGTTTATGTGGATGACATTTCAGCCAATAAAAATTGTGAAAATTTAAATCTAACATCTGCCAGTTGAAATCAGTATCCCATCAAGTTAACATACGAAAGAATCTCTCTGCGTGTTTTGTTGGCTGATTGATCTTAGTATAACTTTATTTGTTTTTTTATGATTGTTTTACAACATGGTATCTGTTGATTGTGTAGGGTTGACTGATATTTATAAGAAATTGTAATTAGTCTGTTTCCATAGTTGTTGTCATCAAAATTTATCATAGGAAACTTGGTATCATATTTCTAACATTAAATAACTCTTAAATTGAAATCGTAAATCGATCATTGTTAGACCAACATTCAAAACATGGAAGCAATGGATGAGTGTTTCATCCTAGTGTGTGACTCTTCAGTAGTGCACAGCCACGAACCTCACATAGTAGAATCCAGTCTAGAATTGTTGGTTTCTCACTCGAACACTTAATCTTTAAGTTACTGAACGCATGTCCAACTCCTGATCATTCGAAGGTTGTGCGCAACCTTATCCACTGTCTTCCATGGGTAACTGTCTACACCCGACAAGATTGAGCTCCACTGCTCATAGCTTCTCACTGGAGCTTCGAAAATTTCCTCATGAAGTTAATCATCACACAGTTCGTGAGATTGTTTTGTTTTACACTGAAATCATAAATCAGTCATTGTTTGACCGCCAATCGATATGATTTTTTTTTTACAAAATAGTGAATTTGAGTTAATCTGTATACCACAATGAAGACATGTCCATACAGAAAGAGATATATATATATATATTACACTACTTTCTATCTTCATATAACAAGAACAATAAAATAGAAATTTGTCTAAATAAAATTCATATCTGGACTATTTGAACTCAAGAACTCAATGGTTAATATGTTTGTCCTAATCATTGTGTGTGAATATATATATATATATATATATATATATATATATATATATATATATATATATATATTAACACTGAGACCTAATCGGCACACACATATATTTATTTATCTGTGACAACAAGTTTTAACTAGAACGAACTAATGACAATCCATATTTTTCAATAATAGTTATGAAGATTATTGGTTTTACACACTGAAACCATCAATCTATTAATGTTAGACTAAAGGTTAGACTGAAGCTCCTGGGTTCGAATCCTGTGAGGCGCATGAGACGTGGATACACACTGCCACTGATGAGTCCCATACTAGGACGAAACGGCCGTCCAATGTTTCTTCCATATTTCTAATAGTGGCCTTACAATGGTTGATTGATGATTTCAAATCATATTTTACAAAATTACATTATTTACTTGCATGTAGTCTTTCTCTCTCTATCAGTAGTGAATATCAGAAGAGAGAATAAGTGATTCATACGAAAAAATCGTTTGTCATTGATAAGCTGTTTATGAAGATTATTGAGTTTCTAGTAGATTATGTCATATATTGATTTTTGCAGGTGATACTTTATCCTCCTAACTTGAGATTTCTTAACTAGTAGCCATCACCAACACTACTGACAATCGAACCTAGTATATTCTTTCTTGCCCTACGTGTTTATTCTTTATACCACTGGATCAGATTCTCAACAGTGTGTACATCTACCTTGAATGTTTTCCAAGCATCTTCCATTTGACGGAGTTAAACTCCAGTGATCTCGTCTTATTGTTCGAATTTGGAGTACGACTTCTTAAATGTAGTCATTAGTGAGCATATTACCATTACTGGTACGAATGACTTCTGGAGATTGTTAGTAAAATTTAGAAAATAACCTTAGTTAACTGACTTACTTACTTACTTACGCCTGTTACCCCCAATGGAGCATAGGCCGCCCACCAGTTTTCCCCCAACCTACTCTGTCCTGGGCTTCCCTTTACAGTTCTGTCCAATTTTTGTTCATTCCTCTCCTATCTTCCTCGATTTCTAAACGTAATGTATTCCTTGGCCTTCCTCTTTTACTTTTGCCTTCAGGGTTCCATGTGAGGGCTTGTCTTGTGACTCAGTTTGGTGTTTGTCTCAGTGTGTGTCCTATCCAGTTCCAACTCTTCTTCCTGATTTCCTACTCCACTGGAATCTAGTTTCTTCTCTCCCACAGTTCGTTGTTGCTGATGGTTTCTGTCCGACAAATCCGGAGTATTTTGCGTAGACAACTGTCCATAAATACTTGTATCTTCTGGATGATGACTTTCGTAGTTCTCCAAGTTTCCGCTCCATACAGTAGAACTGTCTTGACATTTGTATTGAAAATTGTCTCTTTGGTGTTGGTTGCTAGTTGTTTTGAGTTATTATTGGTTGAATATTCCAGTATGCAGTTCCTGAGCTGTAATCAACTGAGTAGTACATTTTGTGAATATTTTTTAATTCGTTTCTCTTCTTTTTCGTAAACAGTTGTTTTTAGTGGATTTTCATTTACTTTCTCCCGCCCCCCCTCCCTTGACATTCACTGCTTCACTTGAATATTCAACATTTTTTCAATGTGTTCAATAGAAAAAATATTAAATGATGTCAAAATTAAATACTATGATTGGTAAATAAAATTCACACAAAAGCAAGAAGAAAACAATGTCATCTTTCATGGAAGTAAATGTTTGTTTTAAACGCAAAACATAAAGTTATCTACAAAGATGGAAGGGTTTTTCTTAAGAATGTGGTTAATTTTTAGGTGCTATGCCTCACAGATTAAAACTCAGTGTATTATCATAAACGAGCCTATAAAGTGGGAATTTTCCTCTCTACTATAGAGCTCCTCATCAGTATACATCCATGCCTATGGACTAAGCGCCTGTGAATCTATTAGAATTCACTTAAAGTATTATCGTAAACCAACCCATAATATGGAGGTTTTTCTTTCTTGTATGGAGCTCCTCATTGATATGCATTCATGCTAATGAACTAAGGGCCTCCGAATCTAAAGGTGAATACTTAACTGTTAGAAAAGTTAGATTAGCATCTGTCGGTACATTTTCCCAACTTCTACTTGTATTTTTTTTTAGTATAGAGAGTAGTTTTAAATCTGGTACTCATTTTTAGTTTGGTCGATAATATTCCGAATATTCCGAAAGTGAACAGTTGTTTTCTCTCCTTGGAAGTTTGTAATTTTGAATTCATGAGGGATCAGTTTTGTAGTCTACAAGATTCATGGGGAAAGTTTGACCTTCAATTTGAAGTCAAACTTTCCCATGAATTGTATACTACAAAACATGATCCCTCATGAATTCAAAATTACAACTTCAAGGAGAGAAAACAACTGTTCCTTTCGGAAATATTCGGAATATTATCGACCAAACTAAAAATGAGTGCCAGACTTAAGACTACTCTCTATACTAAAAAAAATACAAGTAGAAGTTGGGAAAAATGTACCGACAGATGCTAATCTAACTTTTCTAACAGTTAAGTATTCACCTTTAGATTCGGAGGCCCTTAGTTTCATTAGCATGAATGCATATCAATGAGGAGCTCCATACAAGAAAGAAAAACCTCCATATTATGGGTTGGTTTACGATAATACTTTAAGTGAATTCTAATAGATTCACAGGCGCTTAGTCCATAGGCATGGATGTATACTGATGAGGAGCTCTATAGTAGAGAGGAAAATTCCCACTTTATAGGCTCGTTTATGATAATACACTGAGTTTTAATCTGTGAGGCATAGCACCTAAAAATTAACCACATTCTTAAGAAAAACCCTTCCATCTTTGTAGATAACTTTATGTTTTGCGTTTAAAACAAACATTTACTTCCATGAAAGATGACATTGTTTTCTTCTTGCTTTTGTGTGAATTTTATTTTACCAATCATAGTATTTAATTTTGACATCAATTTAATATTTTTTTCTATTGAACACATTGACAAAAATGTTGAATATTCAAGTGAAGCAGTGAATGTCAAGGGAGGGGGGGCGGGAGAAAGTAAATGAAGGAATCGCACATAAAAAACCACTGGTGGTACGAAAAAGAGAGAGAAAGCGAATTAAAAAAATATTCAAAAAAGTGTGTACTAACTCAGTTAGTTACAGCTCAGGAACTGCATACTGGAATATTCAAACCAATAATAAGCCTCAAAACGAACTAGCAACCACGACCAAAGAGACAATTTTCACTAAACAAATGTCATGACAAACTTGGAGAACTACGAAAGTCATCATCCAGAAGATACAAGTATTTATGGACAGTTGTCTACGCAAAATACTCCGGATTTGTCGGACAGAAACCATCAGCAACAACGAACTGTGGGAGAGAAGAAACTAGATTCCAGTGGAGTAGGAAATCAGGAAGAAGAGTTGGAACTGGATAGGACACACACTGAGACAAACACCAAACTGAGTCACAAGACAAGCCCTCACATGGAACCCTGAAGGCAAAAGTAAAAGAGGAAGGCCAAGGAATACATTACGTTTAGAAATCGAGGAAGATAGGAGAGGAATGAACAAAAATTGGACAGAACTGTAAAGGGAAGCCCAGGACAGAGTAGGTTGGGGGAAAACTGGTGGGCGGCCTATGCTCCATTGGGGGTAACAGGCGTAAGTAAGTAAGTAAGTAAGTAATCTAAGGTTATTTTCTAATTTTTACAAACAATCTCCAGAAGCCATTCGTACCAGTAATGGTAATATGCTCACTAATGACTACATTTAAGAAGTCGTACTCCAAATTCGAACAATAAGACGAGATCACTGGAGTTTAACTCCGTCAAATGGAAGATGCTTGGAAAACATTCAAGGCAGATGTACACATTGTTGAGAATCTGAT